AAGTGCGCCCCCAAGTGTTCATAAATGTTATTCTCTCCTGTGACAATTATGCGTGTACCATTTTGCAATTACATCACCAATTTTGAAAAACTCTTATTTTCATCGATAAACAAAAAAGTAAAAGTAAAACAAAAACTAATCATCCAGACGAGAACCAGCCGAGAGCTTCAACAAGTTCCAGTCCCACCTCCAAATGGCGCTATCACATAGTACTAGTAGAGCTTTTGGCAAAAGCAGAAAGTCTGTTACTATACTTTCCGTCACTTCCTCATGTGTTCCTAAACAAAAACTCAAAAATTGGAAATGTGTTTATTCTGAATGGTAAATTCCTCAACTCAAGAAATGTGGCAAATACCCACTCTCCCTTGCAGAGTCGTCGTGACCTGGGAAGCCACAGAGAGCCGCAACTAGTGGGACGGTCCCTGGCGACCACCTAGCTTAGCGATAAAAGACCCATAGCCTCTGCGACGGAGAATGGCAAATACCTTATACTGTTAAAGCATCATAAGTGCCATCACATTACTATTTAACCTTTTCACCAGTTACCTCTTTCCATCACAAAATAGTCCCGTTTATAGTCCTCCAGAAGAATATGACAAAAATAGCCAATTTTTTTTAGTAAATACTGAAAATACTCAAATTTTCTGTTGGCTCAAAAATTTCTGGTAGTGAAAAGTTAAAAACATCAAATAAAAAATGACATCTTTCTTTTTACAAATATTAATTTATTTCTCTGATATAGTAAAGTGATTTTTAAGATGTTAGTTTTCAATTAATTTATGTTTTGAACCAAACCAAGCAATGTACATTGTACAATAATAAAACCTACAGTATAAGCTAAGGAAATGTTACACAAGAACATAGCTTAATTATTGAAACCTTGCCAAATGTATAGAATTGAAAAGAACATTTTATATCTAAAAAAATCTTAACTTAAGCAGCCAATAAAAGGCGGCAGTCATCACGCTGCATCCTGTTCGATATGGAACTCATAGCAACTTATACAACGCGTGTAAAACACATTGTTTATTTACATGAAATTCTAACACGCGCTGCGCGACGACCACCACGCTTTAAAGTTAATTATGCAGATATGAAATATAAACAATCACAAAGTAAACAAATTAACAATGTCTGTGCAAAGTAGTGGGGCGTACAATATTGTGATATCGTTAAATCAATATGAATAAAATACACATAAATACACAATAAAACAGAATCACGAATACAAGGTTTGAATTTTAACGACATTGATAATTAAATATGCATAAATATGACGAAGAATGTTACAATTCTAATTAAAGAAAGTTTTAGAAAGAACACACATGTGTTGGAACTATTGAAATACTGTAAAATGACTAATTTTTACTGGGTTTAAATTTCACTGATTTACCATTTCAGGCATATTCAGTGGGTTTTAAATTCACGGTTTCGTAATTAGATACTGTGATCTATGGTAAATTTTACATATTCACTGGGTTTTAAATTAGCGCATTTTCCAGTCAGCGAAATAAGCTAAATTAAAACCCAGTGAATAATTACCCCCTTTACAGTGGACTTTTTCTTTAGTTTGTTTGGTACATGTTTTATTTATTCTTAACATTCATTCATTGCATTTTACTAGAAGCTTATAGCAATGTATTTTTAGCACATTACATATGTTTCAAAAAGAATGTTCTCATCTGGAGTATGAAGTAACGACTCAGTATGCAACCATCTAAAAATAATAAGATGAGATCATGGTGCCTTCTGATCCCTTCTGTGAGGAACTGTTATATAGTCGTCAGTATTATTTTGTAGAGACCGAGCCAGACAATTATAGTACGGTAGTTGAGAATCAGTTGGATCTGAGAAACAGCAGAGGACAGCCATCAATGAGACAGAAGTCACAAGCAGTGGCAGGTTAAGTCTAATTGAGTTGTAGGATTATTCACAAGAAGCGTAATTGGTGTATCACTTGATGACAAGGACACTATAACAAACGATAAGATAAGGTAAATGATACAGGGAACTACTGTAAAACATGTCTTTTTCGTGAGCATGTCATTTTAGCGAATTTAGCGAAAGAACTAATTCGCTAATTTAAGATATCGCTAATGACTTCATTATAAATTTAAAATGGCGGTCTTTTTCTCCACACACAGTAATAATAAAGTAATAATCTTTATTACACTTGACAGTTTTTCTTTGTTTTTATGAAGGTAATAACTGCGCATTTGTTTTGGCAAGTATTATGAAAACAGGTAATCAACAAAGACAAAAGATATTCACTAAATCAACATTTCGTTATTACCGGGTACGTCATTTTACCACAATTCGCTAAAATAGAATTTCGCTTTTTCAACATGTTTTACAGTATTTCATTAGGGTCAGCAGCCTGGGAAACAATATCTGTGATCTACAAAGACTGCTGTTCAATAAAACCAAGAACATTATCTAGTAGCAATAGACATAGCAAGATGAGGGAATCGTAAGTATAAATCTGCATTAAGACGATTATATTATTGCTGGGAATATGTTTTCTGTAATTACTATAATAAATATCATTGTGCTGGTTTGTACTAAATGTTAATTTGTCATGCTGATTAATACAGCAAATAGCAGACATCCCATTTTTATGGTAAAATTCACCTTTGAGGCAATATCGTGACAGAAAAAACTTGAAAAAGAAATTTGGACGCATTATACTAATTTTTCGTACAGACACTCTTCGATATGTTCCCTCTCAAGCGGCGCTGGGATTTTTCTATTTTCCTATTTGTTTCGAAATTACGTTCTAATTTCTGAATACCGGAAAGAACCAGATCGCATTGTTTTTTCAAGATAGCTAAATTATTATTTCTTCTCCAACTATCATGTAGATATATATCTCAATTAACGCGAAATGGTGGTAAGCGTCGTCTGAAAAACTGTTTTGTTGCCAATGTTCCACTAAATTCGTTTACTCATTGGTTCAATTATTTTTTACCGAAAATGGCTTTCTGTGTTTACACAGAGATCACGTGACTATACACGTCCATACACACACTATCTTGACGATTTCATATCCAGTGTGAAACAAGCTTTCCATCAATATATAGCTTTGTGTTGTTCAGTAAATATTTTATATGAAAATATCAGTTTAGAAAATCAATACCAAAAACGTGTACAGCATGCTTAATTAATTAACAATTTTAGACTATTTAAAAAGAAGTTTTCACTCTTGAATGTGCAATGTGAAAGCAAAGTGATCCACAGAATTGAGTTGATAATACAAACCAGAAATGCTATAACAAAAGAAAATTTGACTAGCTCAAAAAAAAAAAAGCATTTTTAGTTGAAAATAAAAAATATGATAGGAAAGTATAACTGTTTATTATGTCATATTATTGTTAAGTTTGTAAATGAAATTCAGGCCAAAATGTTCATGGTTAGCATTCAGCTAGAAACAGGAAGTAAGCACCCTCTAGTGGCCACTTTTAAGTTGAAAAGACATAACAAAATACAGGCTCAGCAAGCAAAATCTATGAAAGTTTGGGTCACCAGAAACACAATATTTTTTTTTATTTGGCATTTGAGATTTGGTTTGTGGTCTTCTGAGTAAAGATAAAACATTTACATCCATGAAGAAGAATGAATTAATGTTACAACTAGATGCAAATTAAGATGATGCAAATATGCCTAAGATTAAATTACAATCTACAAAAAAAAACTGTTATGTATTCATGATATATAGCACTGATTATACATATGATACATCGCTTTAAAACACATCGCTTTAAACAAATTGTTGTCAACAATCAGAAATACATAATTAATATAATGTAATATACCGTAAATGCATAATTAATAAGGTAGACATCTCATTGCATCCAGTTCATAATTTTATATGCAAGATATATCACTTTAATTATGCATGTATGACATCACATTATTATTATACAGTCATTTATATTAATTTTGTGTACATGTGTATATGACACTAATTACTATCATTCTCACAAACAATGTTGATTATGTAAATGTTGATACACTATAGTTATTACTAAACCTTTCAGGTAAATGTAGAGCAATTGCTCCAACACGTTATGAAGTTATCAGCAAAATTAAAACAAAAAAATATAACAATGTAGCAAAGCCAGACTTCCTGTCACTAAATTAGGCACCTGTACCGTAATGTGCTCAGGGGGCACATGCTGTCTTGGTGGGTTGAAGTGGGCCCCTTGCCTAATTCGTAGTTTATTGAATTGTATTTGTATTAGTCTGTAGTAGTTGTCTGTGTCTGTAAGCCGTTATTCTCAATAAATTTGTCTTTCCCATTCCCTGATTACTGTGTGGAGTGTTTTACTTTTACATCAACAATATCATTCATGAAAAATACTTATAATTAGAATATGAAGCAAATGCATGTGCATATGTCTGATATAACATCTAATGTATGTGTGAATTTTAAACTTGATCGGTCCAAGAATGTAGGAGATACAGGTGAATGAATGCAAGAATGCTTGCACAAAGATCAATCCATAAGTCCAAGAATGTAGGAGATACAGGTGGATGAATGCAAGAATGCTTGCACAAAGATCAATCCATAAGTCCAAGAAAGTAGGAGATACAGGTGGATGAATGCAAGAATGCTTGCACAAAGATCAATCCATAAGTCCAAGAATGTAGGAGATACAGGTGGATGAATGCAAGAATGCTTGCACAAAGATCAATCCATAAGTCCAAGAATGTAGGAGATACAGGTGGATGAATGCAAGAATGCTTGCACAAAGATCAATCCATAAGTCCTCGTTTTGTAACAGGGACTAATTACCCTGCATATGTATAGCTATTACATATAACCAGATTAAAATTAAATTAAATAAACCTGGCATGTCTGAGAATTTACATCAGATAAAAATATGCACAGACACACAGACAGATGGACCAACTCAATCTCGTTCTCAGCCTTGGTCTGGACAATGTTCAACAAGGATTAATAAACCTTACATATGCAGACAATCTCAACTCATTCTCTCTTAAAATAGTGGCAAAAACTTTGCAGCATATTCATCCTTAAGTGTTCCTCCATATTGTGCAACTTCTAGTGTCAGTTCCCGAAGTTTCTTAATGTCATTTTTACATTCTTTCTTCTTTTGTTGTAAATATGCTTCTCTGTGCAAAAACTCTGAAGTATCTACAAAAGTAAATAATAATTATTCAAAACATGGTTTAGAAAAAAGAAAATCCAGGGTACTTTGCAGTCTAGTGAAGTTTGTATTGACCTTATCTACTTACATAGATCATTAATATGCATGTGTACATTGCTTTGAGTTCAATATTGAACAAGATATTGAATGACCACCATTGTTAACTGCTGATGTAAGTTGTTATTGTTTTGAAAATTAAAATGTATGCGTATCAACATAGAAATAAAATTTACAGCCAAATCTGCAAGCATTATAAAAAATAGAAGACTTGCAATTCAGCATTTTATTTCAAATTCATTCTGGTATATAGTTGTCATAGATACTGAATTCAAACATACCTCCTTCTTCATCTTCAAAACCAAATTCGTCTTCTTCTCCCTCCTCTTCCTCCTCCCTTTCATCATCATTATTATCATTATCGTCATCATTGTCATCCCCATCATCTGCATGAAGCTCTCTTTGTAACTTAGCTTCGTGTTTTAGTACTTTAACTACTCTCTGTTGTAAATAATCTTCAAATCCTTCTTCCTAAATGAATGTACAAAATACAATCAAAAGGCATTTTGATGATTACAATTCACGTCCATGTCTCATTGTAAACTCAGCAATTTAATTTTTTTTTTTTTTTTTCAATATTTTTATGTCAGGTGAAATTTCTGGACATAGAAGTCCTGACTTTTTCGTTTTATTTGCTAATTTAGAGTGCATGTGTGCCAACTTCCTAAAGCTAATACTGCACATTTTGAAGGTAGGGCAGACTATACTCTGACTGATAATGCTGAGTGAAACGCTGGCTCTGGGAATCAAACACGAGCCTTACTGGTGTAAGGTGAACATGCTAACCACTAACATTTTAAAGTTTTTTAAAATTTCACTCAGGTCAATTTCTTTGTTATTTTTGGAGCACATGGTTGTCATAACTTCTCATTGTGGCTACAGTGTGTAAGTTATTTTGTAAATAGTAAATAAATTATATGTCATACCGAGAAGTGTTTCAACAATATTGGCATAGCACGAAGTAAACTCTCCTCATGACGAAATTTTTCAAGGATAATCTTTTCTCTTCCAACTCTTTCATTAATTGACATCTTTACAGCAAAGGAAAGTCTGAAAAAAATCAATCAGAACAGGCAAAAAGTTAAACATGGAACTCAGACGATCTCATCCAAAAAACCATTGTAATAAGTCATGTACAAGAGTGACATCAAAATGACGTACTGTAAATCATGTTGAAAAAGCGACATACTATTTTAGCGAATTGTGGTAAAATGACGTAATAGCGAAATGCTGATTTAACAAATCTCTCTTGTCATTGTTGATTCCCTGTTTTCACAATACTTGTCTGTTGCATGCCAAAACAAATGCGCAGTTATCACGTCCATAAAAACAAAGAAAAACTGTCAAGTGTAATAAGAAAGCGCTCCAGATTATTACATTATCTGTGTTGTTTACAACTGTGGAGAAAAAGACGTTGTTTGGCCGCCATTTTGAATTTATAATGAAGTCATTAGCAATTAGTTCTAATGCTAAATTCGCTAAAAAGACATGTTTTACAGCATATGGTAAAGTTGTTTAAATCACAATTATATTTAGTTGTGTTTGTCATCTGGAATATAATAAAACTCTCAAAAACATTACTTCCAGTGATGGACTACTACAGAACAAAATGGCGTTCATGTCATAGGTGTGCTTCGTCACTAGAGGGCGCAACTTAAAAGTTGTATTTTATTCTTTTTTCAATTGAAATAGAACAATTTTACCTTGCCCCTGTATACAATGAACTTGGCGGTCTGGCAGAATGGGGTATTATGCCTTCATGGATGACTGCTCTCCCATAGGATGGTAAAACTTCTGTATATGTACAAGAACAAAATTGATGAATAAGTAGCAGTAAATCATTACTTTACGTTTCACGCTTGTCAACGGTAGAGAATACATACCTGCTATGTACTCGGTATCATCACTGTTTCTTTCAAAATAAGCTGTTTCTCCATAGTAATTTTCAGTCCAATTTGGATTAAGATAAATTAAAAATGTCCATTCATCTTCATGTGGCTCGCAATCTTCATGTATTCGTGTGTGGTCAGCACTGCGTATTAGATTACAGGAAACATCATATGGAAACCACTGGTCTTGACCTGCAAACACAATGTGCCTGATTACCACATATATAATCCTAAGAATTTAGCCATGTCATAAATCATACCACATTATGAGCAATAGGTGATTTTCCATTCAACTGCGAGATCTCTCGCGTGTCGAACGTCTGCTGCAAAAATCAAACGCTTTGATTTTGAACTCTAATTTCCTTATTTCGTAGCTCACATCACATCACATGGCAGGGGAATATTGCGTTTGAATATTTTTACTTCATCAAAATTAAGCATGGAAAAATCTTCCAAAATATTTTGCGTTTGTCGAATCCGATGTGATGTTTGACGCCACTATGACGCCATGACATGTTTACCCTGTAATTACGTTTATTTTCAAGCATAAACCGATGATCTCGCAGAGATTAGAAAATGATCTATTGCATTGATACTTATATGAAAGTTGTATTTGTGATGTCAGCAACTTCAGTAGATTTTTTAAATAAGTTTGTACGCTATTTCAAAGCTTTTGGTGATATAGGCCCAGCAATATTGTGATGGTCTGTACACTAGTAAGTTAACAAAGATTTACAATTGGATAAATAGCTCCATTCATCATCTTTCAG